AGTTTGATTAAATAATCTGAATTATGTGAAATTTAAACGTCAAACGTAATAATTTCTGTTTTTTTTTAACAATATGCGTGATTGAAATATTTTTTAATATTATTATTTATTAAAAGAGATTGGCTATCTACCTATCTATCTGTATTCTATATATAATATAGGCTACAATAATACAAATTGATAGTAGGTTTATAAATATTTACACTTTACATGGCGAGGCAGCTTTCGTTAATCGGACCTTGTTGGTTATTGTATATTTTGGTATACCAAATAATTGGACTTATTCAGTGCTTTTTAGTCTCTTATTTAAGTTACCAGGCATGGATTTAGTTGTATCTGTACATAATATGTACTACATATAGATAAATTTTATTTTTTATATGATTTTATTTCGATTTTAATGGAGAATGTATAACATTTTTAATATTATGTATTATCTTTTTATAAAAAATCGTCATTGAAGGCCTCGTACAAAAACTGCAAATCGATTAGTCAAAGAACTATTAGTTACACAGGTGGAGATTTTACTCTTGGAAATATACTAAAAACATTCGTTTTCATCATTGTTTGGTTTAATTTTCTCAGAATACTATAAGTTTCCAGGATCTAAATTGTTTTTCAATTTACTGTATTTAATGTATTCGACTATGATTAGGAACAATAAGATACGTATAATTATATGTTGTTATCGGTTCGCCCTTGATAATTTTATTATTTGTTTTTTGTTCACTCTGAAAACGATGTGTCTTAAATTCATATACATAATTTAACAGGTTAAATCGCGAGGTATTTTTTATTTTGTTTCACTTAGGTATATAATAATAATATATATTATTTCATTTTCAGATGTACCGTACACAAAATAAAAAAACATAATGCTATGAAATATCAATTTTTTCTCCCGTTATACATAAATTTACTTGGCTACACGTTTCCAAATATGAATAATATATTTAAAAGATAAATTGCTCAAAAGAATTTTTTTTCAAAAAAGTTTTAGTTTAATTTATTTTGTATACATGTACCTACTATATAATATAAGTGTAAAATGTACATATTACATATTTACATCTATATATATATATATATATATATATAATGTATAACTAAATTTATGAACAGCCGTTCATTTATATTTAAGTTGTTAAGATATTCGCACAAATGAAATTGGTTTTGTTTAAAATAATGAAATTAATTTAACGACTTCAAAAACATTTATCATGTCTGAATGACCTTAAGATAGAACTTAATTTTCCATGTCAAAAGATTTTTAAATTAAATAGCATTATCAGTTTGGTATAAGTATACATTTATATATCACCACACTGTGATACTCTAGTTGCAAGACAGCTCTCTACTCGCAAAATTCCAATTAATTGCCATTTATGTACATATTTATATGTTCTGGTGTATAACTGAATAAGTAGTGTAGTACGTCGGTTTTGTTATTACCCATGAAAGGATATTTAACAGCGTAAACTTGTGTACTCGCATAAAAACAAAAAAAAAAAAATACTAAAGTAGTGTACATTTATAAAAAAAGAGTATCATTGAATTTAATAAACGTAAAAATGAATTGTTTAATACTACCTATTGCGGCTTGATTTTTTTTATATCTACTGTAGTACTGTATATGTTAAGTCTTAAACATGATGCATATACATTAAACATGCAATATACTTATACTTATATGATTCTAAAACCTTTTATACCGTATATAATAATGTATATTAATGAATATGAGTACCTATTATTATTATTTAATCATTTACTATATTATATAATTATATCCTTACGATATAGCGACATGAAAAACTCCAGTTCAACGCATTTCGCCTGTTGTTAATAATAATATGTATGGTTAGTGACCTCAGTAATATATTTTTAATACATAATTAACCTTAACCATTGTTTTCTTTCGAAATGTTTTACGGGCGAGACCCGAAGGTAGGAATAAAGTATATTTTATGATTTACTCGAAAACTATTTTATTATTTAAACGAAAAGATTTTATTTAAAAACGGACGTTTTTCTCTCGAGCACATTACGATTACGAAGTACGAACGAACGTATTATGTGTATATTTTTATTGATAACGGTATTGATAATAACCGTTGACCGATTTATGTTGTGCTCGAAATCAAACAACCATATTTTCGCAAGTATATGCATTATGATACAAGTTACTAAATATATTTTATTAGACGTGTTTAACGTTTGTTCTTAATATAAATTGGTTATACCAATTAAGTTGTTGTACTGTACTTTTTGTAGAATGTTTATCTGAATTGTGGAATTCACAAACCATTATCTAAGTTACTTCAAAGAAAGTTTACAGTGTAAATTATTGTTTTTTGCTAGGTAATAATATATTAAAATTGTATCACTTGCTAATTATATCACATGATTATTATCATGTTCTATTATCGCTAAAATTGTCTTCACTAGTTAAAGAGTTAAAGCCAATTATTTGAGTTTTCTTAGCAAGTCACTATCCGGTAAAATTGTTTGAGAAGATACACGTTTTCTTAACTGTATAAAACTATCATGCACCACTAACCACATGCTTCTAATCAGCTCCTAATGACCTAGTAGCTAGTAAGGATGACGTAGATTGCTAATGTGGAACTTAACCATCGTTCTACTACTCTTAATATTGTCYCTACTTTGGTATTTTGTAATAATATGTTTTCGTCGACTTTATTGGTGTTAGTCTTGAATGAATTTATTACTTAATAAGAGTATCGTCATTTTTTTATCATTAGGTACTATCAACTTGTAGGTACTTTTAATAACAATAAAACTTCTACTCCGCTAGTCTAAACTTTAAATACATATAACTTATAAACTACTCGTCCTAAATTCGATTTTTATGAATCAAAATATTTTGAAAAATATTCTGCTTTGGAATATGAAATTAAAACTCTATGTCAGTAGTTCTCAACCTTTTTTGATTCATGTCACCTTTAGCCACTAGAATCAAACACTGCGTCACACTAACATAAAAATAATAAACAATCTTAGCTGTATATTTATTACTAGGTGCACGTGTTTATCGGACCAAAAGATTAAATATAAATAATACAAACTATTATAAAGATACGAACTTTGAGGTATGTTATGTACATGACAGTGGTGGTATAGGCGTATAATATATTTATTATAAGAAATTATATGACTGTTTTCGGAAAAATTAATTTTTTAAATTTTTTTCTTTTCTTGTTAAAATTCTGCGTCACCCCTAAGCTAGGTCCATGTCACCCTTAGGTGACATGTCGCCCCAGTTGAGAAATACTGCTCTATGTTGTCATTAAAAAAAGTAAAAACTTAAGAAATGATAAGGATAAAAATAAGGAAAAATATAATTTTTTTAATAAAAACGTTGGTTTTTTAACAACTTGAAACCATGTAAAAAAATATTTTTCGAGATAATTAGTGTACCCACTTAAAAGAATCACCCTGTATATATTTTTTTATGAATTGTATGTATATGCACGTTTTTGGTTATTACTCCACTTTGTGAATAATTCCTGATTGCTCGGTGAGATTTCAAAGCTGGTTTGAGATCAATGCTTGGTATTCTTATTAAAATATATTTAAATGTACCTATACGGCTTTTGTCGGTTCAATATTATGTAATTTTAATTTTCCTTCCGTTCTCCAGACGTAAGATATATATTTTATTAATTTCACCTTCTACAGGGAGAATTAATGACTTGTAACAATCAAAATGAATCCAAAAAAAAAAAATTTCCATAACTATTTAACAATTTCATCCGAATCATTTTATGTATACAAACTTTCTGCTATATAATGATGTTTTACTAACGTAGATTTTAGTTTAAATTTTGTTAAGTCCATCATTTAAATTGTAATGCTTTTATAATCTGTCAACATTAATTCTCATCCTGACGATTTAATACGTTACACATAATATATTGTAATAGTATATCTATATATACCTACGCTTATGTGTAAATGTGTTTCGCATAATATTTTTATTTTTATTAACAGTCACCGCCATAATTAATTTCATCACAATAATATAATTTATTTCTTATTTGTCAATACATTTATGTAAACAATATTCATGTCTCAGGTATAAAATATCTTTAAATACTGAATGATGATTTTTTTTTTTTTAATATTTAACACGAATTATACTCTTCACGCTTTTTTTTTTAAAAGTATGAATATTTTTGGAAATGTATTTCCATTTAATCTAAAATCATTACACAAAAATATTTCTCAACAATCATTAGGTATATCTCTTAATTTTTTTATTGTTATAATTTTTCCAAGTTACTTTAGTATTAATAATATTAGGATATATGACATGGAATATAATATAATAAAGACTTGAATAAAGCTTAAAATCATATGCCTTAAACTTATTATATAAATACGTAGTATAATATATAATAAGCTAGTACAATATATTGTTATGAAAACCTACATGAATTTGAATGTATGTACTTGTTAAAACTAATACTAGAACTAGATACACGATGAAAAGAGGGCCGAATTTATTTTATTACCTCGGGCTGGACCGAAATCCCAGTCCGACCCTGTTGAAACCTGTTTTTTTTATTAATTAAACTACTGAATTTATCTTGGTGGGTACTTTTAGGCATTACGTTTTTCTTGCCTTTGTATGATTATATGAATAACTGTTTGTATAAAATAATTTCTTAGGTAAGAACTTATCTTTATAAAATAAAAGCTTATTTTTTAGAGGATGTTCTTTATATATATATTACTATTAACTATTAGCTATTCTGTTAATGTAAACTATTTAATTTTTACTCAAAAAATATTATCACCGAATTGCTACTCACGCCTGTATAGATGTAGCTAATAAAATAGATTAAAGCCACTTTAATTTTAATTATCAATTGCTAAAATAGTTTTTAATTTTTTACCAAATTGTGTGTAAACATATGTGTTTTTATTATATTATTTATATAATTATRATTTATGTGTACTTTTTTTTAGAATGCGGTTCGTCTAGCATTTGCTTACAGCAATGCAATATTAACAAAGATGATATTGATACAACTACTGATAGTCCATGTCCTTGTAACTTGTATAAAAATCACTCAACACCCATAGGTAAGTCATCACATTTTTATAATTAATTTAATTTAATCTGTTGAAAATGTATTTTATAAATAATGAACATTTTTTAATAATTCATAAATAGTGACTTATATCTACGACATCTTAAATTTAGTGCCATATTTTGTAAATGTTATAAACCTATAACCTATTTAAATTAAAAATCTGAGTCACACTTTTTTCTCGCAGCAATACACTTAATTGTTATAATATGTAAATTGGGTGAAAATAATCAATACCTACTTCGTGTCGGTTCTTATTAAAATTGTCATTTGATTGGCGAAAAAAATGTGATTGATTTGAATTTAATTTCCGCCAACAATTTAATTTAAAAATACTTGAATTTATTTATTTATCATATTTTAGATATAATTCATTCATACACACATAGTATTTGCGCATACTATAATATTTTATACATTGATCAATTGGTTTAATAACAACAGTTTAACATTTAATATATATTTATTTGTTTATTGTAAGACTATTTATAGGTAAATTTTTATATTTAGAAATTAATGCACACCTCTTCTAAATAAAATTTTTATGGAGTTATAATTTTTAATCTTAATTTATAATGTTGTGTTTTATAACATTTGTCATGATCTAATTTACTAAATTAAAAGAAAAATTGACACTTATTGTAATAATAGAGAGTAATTAGACTATAATGGTAATTTAAATGTTTTAAAACGTTAGTATCTGTATTAGTTTAAAAAAAAATGAATTAATAATAAATTGGCGTAATGTATACAAATTTATAATAATATGATGATATTATACTCAAGTTTTGAAACGTATTCTGCCATTTAAAGCTATTTGTTTACAAAAAAACAATAAAATTGGTTTCGGTATTATTATTTTAATTGAGCGAATTTTAGATATTATCGCGATCCTTTAAAATATTTTATTAAATATAATAATCAACTTATTAATGTCATACAATATAATTGATATTCCACAAATTATGTAGGTACCTATTGCATCAAATACCTATGTATTTACAATACCTATTTTTGAGCGGTAAATTAAATTATTGGTCTTACAATAGTTTGCAATTATATATATATATATATATATATCTGATATCACTTTAAGATCACTAAAAATCCTCACATTTTTCACTTTGAGGATGGTGTATGCAATAATACATCGAATCCAATCACATCGATTGGGACATTATTGTATGAAATGTAAGAAGATTACAGAACTTTCAAAATAATCTGGTAAAACTAAAAAAAAATTGCTGAAAATGTTGAACAAAAATTATTTAATATTCAATATTAGTAAATAGAAATAGAACAAAGTTGATATAAATAAATATTATCACATGAAAAATATTCTTAGAAATTCAGAGTAACATTTTCTACGCACAGGGTGTTTTGTATTCAATGATTTATCATTGAATTCAAATTTGATTCAGCTATTTTTTTTCATACTATAAGTGTAGTGGCTCGATTTTCAAAACTTGTCACATTTCATTACAATTTGATGCATATTATAGCTAAATATTACATATTTTCCGAAATTATTAATAAGAATAATTCATACAATCATTATTTAATTAGTATATATAATATGGTAGTGTTGTAGTATATACATGGGTTAGAAACTAATTACCTATAAATACAATAAACATATGTATACATAATTATTTTTGTAACTTAAGCAAGGCAATAAAAAAATTGTAATACTCTATGGATGGGATTATTATCTACTTAATTTCGTGAAAAAGCAAACTGACCCAACTAATTTAAGTTAAGTAAATTACTGTACATCACTGTACATATTATGTGTAAAGTCTCTTCTAAACAATGTTTATTTATTGTTAGACATTTTAATTCGTCTAATTGTTTCATATAACTTTATTTGTTTGACTTGCAAAGATTCATATGCAGGTGAACTGAGCTTTGTGAGTATGTACACAATGGATTTATGTGTATAATAATATGTAAATAATACACATGTGCGATGAAACAAAATGCATTGATTAAATGCAACAGTAATATATTCCATATGTCAGAGTAATGCAATAAACCGGATCGTAACGAAATCCCTTGGCTTCATAGAATTTTCAATTGTTTTCGCAAATGTACGTTATTATACTGCTACTGGCGAAACCAGAATTTTCCTATTGTTTAGTCCCAATAATATACTTTAGAAATGGTACACGAAAAACATCCAATACGACCCATGTGACGACAAAACAGTGCGATATAAACACCGTGAGCACTCGTTTGTCAGCTTTTATAATATCTGTGTGTGTGTGTGTGTTTATAGGACGCTCGTAACATCCATCACACATTTAAATTTTTTAACTTTTTCCAATGCCAATATTTAGTGTTCCATTCCTGTCGATTGCTGCCATTACTATACTGAAATTGAAATGGGTTGTATTAGTGAAAAGTACGTCTGATCTTAAGAGGGAAGGGATTCTGGGACCAATTTTTCGGACCTCGCCCATTAGAGAGGATTTTATCTTAAAAAAAAATAATATCGATAAATTGTATGGCATGTATTTGATATTTGTTTTAAAAAAAAACATTAAATCGAAAAGTTTGAATAAATTATATGTAACATATGCCTACAAATTTTTTCTCTATTGATATGTATTCTCAGAGAATATCGAAGAGATTAATTTTACATTTTATATTTTCCTATACCTACGCTACGTAGGTTATAGGTTATAATACATATGACTGCGTGTTTACCTACTCGTATATAATAATTTTATGTACAGTATCACGTGGGTGTACTATCTTTCAGCCTTTGAAGTTTGAACACATCCTATCTAGTTGTCCACCATAAGTCACAACCAAGTACCAACCAAAACACCGCGTGATTATATTCAGTTGTCCGTTACAGTTCGTTTATCGTAATACACAACATCGTCGTATTATTTATATAAACAACTTTCCTTACAAAAATATGTCATCGTCCATGAAAGCTTTGGACGGCGTGATCGATGTTTAAAATACAGACTTACCAGTATATATATACAGGGTGTCCCGTGAGGATTTACGTTTCAAAATTTTATTTTCATTAATTTTCTGATTTTTAATATTTTTTTAGTTTCGAGAAAAATTGCAAATTATTTAACACCGTAATGTTATCAAACATGTGTCCCGATGCGCCGCGCGCATTCCCATACATCGGGCCGAATACTCTCCGTGTTCCTAATAGTTATAAATTTATAATCATATTTTATTTCTTCAAAACTAGAAAAGATATTAAAAATTAGGAAATTAATTAAAATAAAATTTCGAAACGTCAATATTTTCAGAAAAATAAACTCTACAAAATGGCTATCTTTAATTTTTTGGAAATAATTAAATAAAAAAATATATTTTTTAACTTTTTTACCCTAACATTAAAAATATATTTAAAAATGAAATAATTGTAGTTCGTATCCCTGTGAATCTTATTATAAAACCAGAATTTTGATATCTCCATTATTTCGTTAGATATCGCAATGGGTAAATCCTCACGTGACACCCTGTATATACATATATTTACATGGTTATATATTGTTGACATACATATTATGTCTATGTTATATCTGTAAAAACTTTCCGTAGCAAGTCATCGGAGTGGACGTGTCGTGAGATATTTCTATGCATTGCAATTTATTTGTGACATATTATCTGTAACATCTGGTCGTGTATAGTCTACAATTCTATACGTTCTCAGAGATTCAATTTAAATTTTAAACTATAAATGTGCCCATTGTTCACGTGAGTTGATTTTTAGTCAAAGGCGCAATTAATTGCATTTAATACTCATGATAATGTTATATTTTAAGGTAACATTGATTGTAATAATATAATGTATCTGATACGTACAAACTATATCTATGGATTTTAGTACCCATTTACCACGTTATCATCAACTCTCGTTTGAAATATAATTTTCTTTGATTCATATTATTTGTCATTTAACATAAAATATTTACCGTGTATTAAAAGTCAATACATTATATTATATACACTACACATATTATACATTATATTATGGTAACAATTTCAATTTCCTAATTCTTTGCGCATTACATGGAATTATCATACCAGACTAGATTGGGAGTTTATATGATTGACTATATATTAGATATAAGTTTGTAACGCACTCAACCCAGGTTGAAACGCTGCAGAAGTGCAGAGTACCTAAATATTTTTCTATTTGGCAAATTTTTATGTTCAATATTTTTTTTTACATAATATAAATTTGTTTCACTTCTTTTACGATTGCGAGACTGTCTAGCTATTTTTTTTTTTATCTATTTTATTTCACTGATCTTTTTAAACTATTTATATATAATATATTTATTGTTTAAATTATACTTATAAGTAAAATTATATGTCTGACAGTTTTAAACTTTTCTTTAGCTTACAATRTATTATGAAACAATATACAAATTTAAATGGATTGTTATTTTTGCACTCCTCCTAATACCAGGTTGTTATTGCAAAATAATCATTCTTCTCTTAACCAGGAATAGAGTATATTGTATAACATAACSATTTTGTTATAATTACAAAATGATTTGTTGCTCACATGGTTATATATAGTTTCTTAAACAATAGTATAAAACTTACATTTGTTATGCCTACAGTAAATATTTTGACCGCTAACAGTATTTTTTGTTAGTTGAACATGAATGTATTTGTTTCTGTTACATTAATTCTATAAGATTTAACAGATCAAGTTTAGTAGTAAACACAATGAATTGCTTTTTTTAAAACAACTAATAATATTTTACCAAAATTGATTAGTATTGTTAAATRAAATTACTCCTATCCTTGATATAACTACTTTTCATTGTTGCGATTACCCATAATTATTTGGTTATCAGAATTTTTTTTCAGTGATATGCGTTGGCCACTCTAATAAACCGATACATATCACAGTGATGATAAATTTTCTCTTTCATCTCTGATATTAATATGAGTTTCTAGTTATTATTACGTATGTACAAAATTTTTTTGTAAATAATCATA